GGTCTCAGAAGCTCCTGGTGTTTTGCTTCCTCCCACATTTGGGGTACCTGACAGCCTGCATGAACAGTCAAGTCATGCTGCACGTGATGTGGTCCTGGCGTAGGAGCTGGGCTGTTTGATATTCACAGACTGGCCAAGGTATTTCTCATAAAGATTAAAGCAAACAGGTGTCCCCAGTGAATGATCTGATCACCTTAAATGAACAAGTGATTTGGACAGTGATGATGATTTATGCTTTTATGCAAAGGCAGTATTTTTATTACAGATTCTGCCCTGCAGATTAATTAATTGCCTTGCAGGGGGGCACAGCCTTCCAAGTGGCAAACTTGTCACTTCAGTCTGTTCAGTGCCAGTTACTTCATTAAAAAAAAAAAAAAAAAAAGAAAGAAAAAAAAAACATTGCCAGGAATGGTCTGTTGCTTTCTGCAGTGTGCTGTGGCAGATGAATTATTGTTGAGCAGCTACATTCATACCACAAGTATCATATTCATACCCTCCTACCCCTTCCTCTGGCTGCCAATGCAAGGCAGACTAAATTAGTTAATTACATCTTTCCTCCGTAATGATGGAATACTTGGAAAACTCTTGTTGATCCTATAGAACATAATTCATGACCTAATTACAGTGATGACACTGCAGGATTATCATCTTGCCAGCTATTGACTTCTAGCACTGATCTGAGTTAATTAGAAAAGAGGCGATTTCTACGTTCTTGATTTGCAACATAACAGCAAGATGAATGAGGAAGGCATTAAAGGTACGCCAAGCAATTTCTAGCCCTCAATCTACTCTTGGCTCTCAATCTACTACCAATCCTGCCCAGGAAATACCAGACACATTTAACACTTTAGCTCCATTTCTTCGGCCATTTGAGTCATTTGCTCAGTGGGACAACCGTGTTTGATACTGTCAATTTTACAGAGGTTCAAATGTGGAGCATGGACCTCCTTTTCTTTATCTGTCTTTTACAGAATTGAGGAGATTGACCTAAGTTCTTGTTTTGGACTAAGTCTTCAGTCATTCTCAGTCTGTATGGAAAACAAAAAAACAGACAAAAAAAAAAAAAAAATCAAGATCCTTGACTTTCCAGAATTAAACTCACTCTCCCCTTAACTGCAATGATGGGTTGTGGCTGAGCAAAGAAAGAAAAACCTCCTCCCTCACCAGCCCTTCACTGTGCTTTTCCTGAAAAGGATGCAGCCCCACCTAAGAACCAAGCTTTGACTTCCTTGTGGCTGCTCAGAGGACTGCCTGTTAGGGTCATGCAATAAATCAAGAAGATGAGAAACTAGGAGTTTTCTACCCTACTCAGGGCTCATCTACACAGGAAGCTAGTCAGCAGCAAAATAGGATGTGCATTTATAGCGTGTTACCTATGCCACATGAACTTCCTGCATGTCTGCTGTAATGCGCACAGTGGCTCAGTTCGGCTTCCTAACTGAAGTAAAGCTCCCGTGCACAGGCGCAATCTTAGTGCTCATTAGAAATGCCCACACGAGTTATGACATAGCTATTGTGATGCACGCTGTCTTCCCCACATAGGTAATCTGTTTGGTTTTAGTCTTATGACTGTTATCCTCAAGATGAGGGTGTAATTTCTTGGCTTTCTGCCACCCAGACAAGTCTTTAGCAGTTGAGACTATAAATGCTAAGACAATGGGCTGGTCAGGGAAAAACACCTTTGATGTTGGGCAAGAGTGACCAAACTGAGATTTCTAGTAATACCAGGAATTTAAGTTGCTACAATCATATGAACGCAGAAGAAAGTCCAACAGCGGGTAGCAATACTAGCAAGTATTAGGGGTTAGCGCAGCGCGGAGCAGACCTTATTTTCTCATGTTGCAGCATGAGTTCAACAAACCACATCAACCTCTCACTTTAGATGCAGATACCAAAGAAACCTCCCGTTGCTGGGAGTTAGACAGTTAATCCTGTGGGCACCACTGCTGTTGAGGTTGCTGCTGACTTGCCCTGAAGCAGGCTGTCAATGCACACACACCATGCACAATTACTCGGCATAATAGGGCTATGAGGTAAGCATGAGTCCACATCAGCAAACCTGGTACGTCTCTGATGTAAGGCACCAGGCCAAGTGCTCTCGATTTCACCTCGCCATCAAAAATGTGCAGCTATCCCCATGCAATCCGGCTTTGTCAAGCGCATGACTGCTTTAAGGGAAATATTACACAAGAGGAGAAAGACTGATGCAGTCTCTTAGTACAGCTGGCACTCGCAAAGCAGGAAAGCTCACCCCATGTAAGTGCACACTCCAGTTAGTCATTCAGATCCTGGCTGACACTAGGAAACTTCAAGCTGGGAGAGATATCCATTGGAGACTCTTAATACAAAAGAAACTCAAAGCTTGCAATACAAGTTGATGGGAATTGAACAGTTTGCACATAAGGAATTTTCCATAGCTTCAAAAGTATTTGATTTATGGGCAAACAAGGCTCAGAATATCTTTGTGAGATAGTATCTCCCCCGTTATTTGCCACCACCCAGTTTAAATGGTGGCACAGTTTTCACACCGTTTGTTCCAGACCACGTAGAGCTCCACACTTCTGCACCCTTATTCCGAACGATGAGACTATACTGCCTCGCAACGCACTGCCAGCAATACACACTTGAGAGGGAAGCACAAGACGTTCACAGTATCTTTGAACACCTTTAAGGTACTGGGTTTCTTAGAAGAGAAAGCAATGAGTAAGAAATGGAAAAAGAAAAGTTTACTTCTACTTTAGAAGTTGCTGAACTGGGAAGCACTTTGTTATGTGACTTTCTGAAGTATTTCCGCTGTTACAGGGGGAACCTATTCACAAATGCTGTGGGTGATCTGTTGCCAGCAAGAGAGGTTTTGATCACTTATAACTCGTCAGAAGAAGGTTTCCATATTCTACGAGCTATTGTACTGGACAGTCCGTGACAAATCAGTTTCCTGCATTCATCTCAGTCTCTTCCATGACATCCTCTCTAAAATTTTACTGCTTTATTGCGTACAAACACCTCCTCCCCATGCAGTTCCTGCTGGGAAAGGCAGTTTACCATCTCTCTGAGGTTTTAATGAGAAACCTGTCAGCTGAGCATGCAGGAACTTAGAGCATCTCTAGTATCTTTGCGGAAAATACATCATCTTGTTAAGAAAAAAGCATGAAGAGGCCTCAGAGAATCATACAATTTTGCTGTTCAAAAGGAAATCTCTAGTCAGGAAACTACCACTACATAAAGGCATGTGCACTCAAATAATTGGATCAAAATTAGGTAAATATTACTAATTCCTCTGGTAAAGCATTAACTAAAAGAAAAAAGAAAACCAGATGAAAGAATGAGATCTAAGAGGAGAGCAAGAAAAAGTACTATTTTACTTGAAGCAATTTGTCTGGCTTTTCTCTATTTTTTAAAACAAGAAAACCAAGAAAACTCAGCTCCTGAGAGAAGTGGGTTGATAAGGACCCTAGTATTTTACAAGCAAATGCATGGAACTGAATTCAAAGAAACAGTGAGTAAGAAACCTAAGATACCATCTCTGAAGTAAACGTGCAATGGGCATAAAAAATTAGCTAGAGCTAGATTACGCTACTATCTTAAGGTTAAACATTACTCAAGGTTAAAATTGTTCTTGAAATTATATTCTTGACCCAAGTCAGAGCTGCACAAACACAATGAAAAAGCCTCATGGTTATCAGAAGCCACGTAAAGCATGGTCAATCTAAATACAGCACGAGCCCAATGTGTTTCAGAGCTTTTTTGCTCAGCAGTGACATCTGTTGCTATCTGGACCATCATGTAAGTCTGACAGAAGTTCCACCCTTCCTAACTATCCAGGAACTGTGCATCACAGTCTAGTGAGCTCACTGCCACATCAGCAGGATGATGCAGAATGTTTCCTAGAACCCAAAACAAAGGTACCTGTGTTAATAGTTACTAAGAAAAGTTTACTTCAAGGCAGGAGGAGCATAAGAACAGGGGAAAAAAATCTGATTAACTAAAATACTTGTTCTATGAGCAATTTTTTTAAAGTGGAAATTATTTTCATTTTGCTCAAAACAAGGTCCCAAAGAGGCTACCTGGGACAACTTGTCTTCAGGCACAAAACCTGTCAACTAAGTTTCCAAGTAAGGCTCAACATACAAAAAGAAATGAGATAAAACTCACGCGTGAGTAAAGCTATCTGCATGTATCAGAGATTCAGCTCTGACATTAAAAAAAAACAGGTATTATTAGCATTAAACTAATAATCATTTGTATTTTATGCAATTCATTTTTCCAAAAAGCATCTCCAAAAACATCCAGTGAAGACTGGCAGAATGTGATACCCATTTTATCCACAGGGAAGCGAGGGGAAAAGAAAACATCTTGTCAGAGATCCCACCATATCTGCAGTGGGATCCCACCGTCTCAAAGCACAGACCACATGGATTCAACCAGTAGGCACCACACATTTAAACATACGGTATCACTGATGAAAAATACACTAGTTTTTGAAAATCACTTTGAATCAAACAAGTACAGAGGAAAGTGCCTATTTAGGAGGAGAGGAGAAACAAATCTCAGATGAGGACAAGAAATCAACAGCCTAAGGAGAAGAGGGAAACTGCAACTGACTGGCATTGATGATCTTAGTATTCACGCTACCTTACATCTGATCACCAGAGAACTGAAAAGAGTCAGAGCTTTTGATGTGATCTGTGGTCACAGGAAAAATATCCACTGTGCTCAACAAAAAAATCCAGTATGCAGCTAATAAAGGATCAAGCAGGTCTGGAACAGTTCTCTCTAACAAAACTATTTTACAACCAAGTTTGCCTAGCATACTTTAATAAATTAAAAAGCTGAATGACTGACTGAGAATTCAAACTCAACCAAAAGGAATCCAAAAACCATTAGCCAACTAACTGACCTAGTGAAATTACAGGCACATTTTTCCAAGGTAACAGAGTAAAGCTGTAGAGAATCATATACACACATACATTCAAACACAGGAAAACATGATTTTTACTTACATTTCAGTGGCTATGAATCCGGTGAGCTCAGACAGGAAGAGAAACAGTATGAACAGACAGCAGCAGACAGAGACTGTAAAAGAGGCAAGGAGAGGAAAAGGTTAGTTTCATATCTCTAACAAAGACATAAACTGTTTTCACACAGGCATATTATTCCTGCCATGGATATGCCACCCAGACTCACTTGAGAACTAAAACTCTTTAGAGACAATGACCCAGGCAAGGTCATCAGAGCAGTGACTTCGGTGACATGACAATACCCAACATCCTGCTGGGTATCTTAATTCTCGGGCCACCTTTTCCATCATGATTTCCATTTCCCCATGGCTCCTGCATTCTCCATCTCCAGCACACAATGTTGGTCTGCCAGCTCTCCCTCCTTCTTGACAAAGCTGTTTGACAATACGATTTCTTTGGAGCCCTTGCTCCAAATGTAATTTTATTACTACTAAAACCTCCGGAAAGGAAAAAGAATCAACACCTCCTCGCTTCAAAAGCATACAGTCAGCTACGCAGTGTTTTGTGGATTAGAAGACATTTTGGTTCTTTGTCAAGTTCTAAGGCTATGTATAAGTCATCTCACAGCCTGCACTACCCACTAGACAGAGCTGGTACAGCAGAGACACGGCGATAATGGACTAGTCTAGCCAATGCCCGATACTTCTCTAATTTCTCCATTTGCTGACAGAGTGACTCGTCAGAGAGAGAAAATTCCCAGTGAAGGAAATGTGAAGTACCTGGACAACAAGTCCCATGTCTTTTCTAAGAATGCCAACCTAGAGTTAAAAGGAGGGAACCCAAAGTAACTGGCATATTACTGGCTACTCTTCATCAGGAAGCTATTCAAAACATTGTACAGGGACATTCATGCAGCAGTGACACAGTCATTGACCCACACAGGAGGGGCTGGAAGGAAGGAAAGCTGTAAATCCTATTGAGCAGGGATGATTGGAGTAGACAAGGATGTGCCAACTCAAGGAGACAGGGCTGCAATGTGTATTTGTATTAAATAAAATACACAAGTTCACCATGAATCACTATACAAAAGAGTTAACCAGGAAATGGCATGCTATTCCAGGGCTGCGACAACAGGAGTACGATCTGGCTCACCCCTCAATCCCAGCAGAGTTACAATGACCAAGCACTCTTTGGAAATGACCGCTTTACCATAGCCACTAATTAGGATTGAGAAATAGGTAAGAAAAACCCTGTTCCTCAACTTTATTCCACATGACCTATACAGCCTGAATACCCACTCCTTCGGGAAGCTCAAGCAACAACTGGCTGAGGAGCAATTTTATCATACAATTGTGCCTGTCCAAACTCCCTTGGTAGACAATGTGAGAGGCAAGGGAAGGAAAGAGGAGGCACTTAAGGCAAATACCAAGACAGACCCTCGAATGACCTAAAGACTTGTGCCTCATTCTTCAGATTAGTCAGTTTATAGTTCTGAGGAAAGAGAAATGCGTTGCTTCCTCTTCCTCATCAGAGTCATTTCAAGGGTGGATTAACTTACTGACCCTCTGAAAAGTGCAAGGGATTAAAACAGATGCCAAAAAATCCATTAGCTAGGATGAAGAAAGAGAGAAAAGGGAAAAACAAAGTCAAAGACCAGTAGGAAAACGGGAAGCAAGAGGGCATATTCATTTCTAAAGAGAAACCTTGGATGGTCACACAGTTGCTTCCAAGTCTTCGCTGTCAAGACACAGAACAACAACATTGCTGTAACCCAGCTAAGCCACTGGCACGGTGCACCACGCAGCGTGGGGGAGGAGAAAGGTCTACTTAAACCACAGCAGCTATGAGAACATATACACCTATGTAAGAGCACAAAAAAGCAACCTAGGCACAAGACTCGTTGATCCAGTGTTTCTTACTGTTAATCACCGAACAGCAGAGACACAAGATCGCTGATCTTTGGCAGTATGCAGGGGAGAGCGTTTGACAAAGAGACAACCCTTTCTTCTTTAATTGCTTCCCATATTCCTCTCTACTCCTTATCATCCTGTAAAGGCTTTCCACAGCATCAGCTAGACCTCTCTGCTCTACAGCACTTCTATGCAAGCCTTGTACTACTAACTGTAAATTCTTTCCCAGAGTTTTCTCTCTTTCTTCCAATTTTTTAACTTTCTTCTCTGCCATTTCCATCATCAAACTATCTTCTCCTTTTCCAGTATACAAAGTATTTGCTCCCTCAAGTCCGTCTTCCAATCCAGCTCTTGCAGGGAAGGCTTGTGACAACATTACCAAATACAGTACAGTAAAATTCCACTAACCTATATCTAAAAAAACCCTGTAAAAATGCCCTGAAACACTTGGCAGGGACTGACTTTCAAAGCTCCTCAATGCTTTTGCCAGTCTTCAAACTATGTCGTCAGTTTTCAACCTGTAAAAGAGATTACTGAGGGTGGACATGAGAGGGGTGTATAAAATCATGGGCAGCCTGAAGGAGATAAATGAGGAACGCTGTCTCTTCCAGTATGGGAATGGGAGGGAAGGGGGAGGTTAAAAACAAGAGAAGGTTTTCCTTTACACAACACCTAATTAAATTCTGAAAATTCTTGACTATGGATGTCGGGGATGCTTAAAAAAAAAAGTCTGTAAGATTTCAAAAAGGAATCAGACATGCCGTGAAGAAGAAATCCATTGAGGGCTACTAAACACAAAGGAACCACCTCTAGCTCAAGAAGTTCAGAACTGCCAACTGACCGAAGCCTGGCGATGTGTTTAACCTGCCCTCATGCTCTTTTTCAGGCACCTGCTGCTGACCACTCCTGGCAAGAGGATATTAGGCTAAATGGACATTTGCATTGACCTACCTAGCCACTCTTGTGTTAAACTCCTCTCGTACACACACATTTTCAGGACAGGGGGGTGTCTCTGGCATGAGACTTATGTGAAAGTCTTATGTGTTAATCTGTCTCTTGAGCCAACGTTTTTTCAGACACAGAACGTGTGTCCTCTCCTTAGCATGGAGCTGCAGGCATATACGATGTTCCCAGCATAAGAATTTACGCACACAGTGCTTCAGCTACTTATTTCATAGTGAAGGCCTTTACTTGCTTCCATGCAAATGCGCAGTTTCTGCCACCCACATTCGACAACTGTATTATATTTGGGAAAGTAGATTAAAGGCTAGGATCAGACTAAATAAAACAATTAATGCATAAAGCTTAGCTTCACTGCAAGAGCACTGCAATGTTCCCACAGAGCTCGAAGGACCATCTAAGACAGGTTTCTTAAAACTCTAATACGATAACACAATCAATGTATCAAAGGTTGCTGGTGTTAGACACACTGGAACACACCGCTGTTGGCTAATCAGTAATCCCAAAAGGATGGGAAATTCTCCCAAGCTTTTTTTTTCCTACACTAGCTTCGACAACCTAACCTTTTTGTACATATCCCTTCTGATACATACCCCATCTACGTACATTCCTGACTCTTCCTCCCCACCCCACAAGAAATGAAAGAAACGCAAAGTGTTTAACACATCATACAGACTGAGAACGTGGATCCATGTCTATATTAAGGCATAAAATTAACAGTATTTATTGTTCAATGGAGCAAACTGCTATGAAGTGCAAGGAATGGGTCTTGTTACAGATGCCATGTGAATCATAACTTTGATATTTCCTGATGTGTATTTAAAACTCCAGCCTCCAAACAGCATAGAGTATTTCTGGATAACATTACCATGTGTGCATACAACATGTGCATGCAAACTATGCGTCCACACTGACTGTTAAATAGCGGGATTGCTACAGCAGCTGTCCGAGTTGCAGGCCTCTCTCTCAAGAAGTCAGACTGCTTCTGTCCAGCCAGATGCCAACTGTCAGCCAGCCAGGGCATGTGCTGCTGCTGCCTACATACCCAAACACGGCCAAGTTCTCACCACGTTAGTCAGGTCTGTTAGAACGGCCGTGTGCTGGCCTCACAGACATGCTACACAGGGGTTGGAAGGCCTGCAAAGACTGGCACAAGTATCTGGTGGAAGAGGGACAACAATGGCACGACTGGCTTAGTGGCACAGGGATTTCAATGCTGCCTGAAAGAAGAGATTTTTATTGAGTAAAAGGAATGAGTAACTTCTGCACACCTTTCAGAGAAGTCTACAGCAGCGGGTATGTTTTTCTATACAAACCTCACTCCGGTAAACTGCAGTGGACTGTTCTTGGTTCCTCCATTCCTACTAATTTTTGTTAGCCGGCAGGGTTGCTACAGAGATTTGAAATATCTTGTGCACCGCGTTCACTGCAATTTTTGAAATTACAAGCCCCTACATATCAGAAAGACTCAATAACCTTCCAGTTGGCTTTTGAACTTGTCTGTGTTCAAGATCGCCTGCTCTTCTCCACCAAAATACCCTAACACTTATTCTCCCTGAGCTGCTTCTTCCCCAGAGGAGTTGGCCACTTCAGCCCTGGTGGTCAGAAGCAGAGCTGGTACCTTCCACCTCTTTTCTTCTGTAATCTGATCTATTTCTTCTTCCCTAATAAACCTCAAACTTTTCAAAAACAGGCCTTTTTACAATCAAAAAAACCTTGTAGGAATCCTGCGGTAAATCCATTCCTACACCAGAAAGCCTTCAGCACCCGAAGTGATACTGAACTCAAGTTTCAGCAGAAGTCATGTGGGAAGGGCCTAAATTAATAGTCAGCTACTACGGGCTATTTTATATCTGCTCTGTAAACCTTGGAAGACTTAAAGAAAGCCAAAATACAGTAGCAGCCATAGTTGTTTCACATATTTACTAGATCCTAAAAGATTTTTTTATGAGGCAGAACCTTCCCCTACCCGCAAGCCCCTAGTGTTATTACAAGCTGACTTCCCTAAAGCATTTATCACAAAATCATGCAACCTTCCCAGGCTTCAGACTGGCATGGCGATGGGCTGGTCTCATTCATGGCCTCCTACAACATGCAAGATTACTGGCTTTCAAATTACAAGTCAGAGGCTTGGTCAGACAGAAAGCCCATTAGGAAAGCTGCACACAAGATCCTCACATGCAAAGCCACCACAGTTTGTTGGCTGACTGTGTGGTTCAAAAGCTTATATCAGCCTGTCTAAAAACACTCTGACAAAAAGAAGGAGAACCAGTCAGAGAAGAAAATCAAAGCCTGAGAAGCTGCAAATAACAATAGAGAGAAATAAGTCAGCTAATAACTTTAAGTAAGAGTCACAGCCTTCAAGCCTTCCCACAACAGACTTATCACTTGAGCTGTTTACTGCAGATCAGAAAGCCTAACACTGGATGGCCTTTGATGGGTTTTTTTGTTTCTAAAACATACTCTTTTGCAGGTGATTCATAACACGACAAATTCTCAAAGGGAGCCCAGTTATACTGTGGGAACTCTTAGTTTCCAAAACAGAAAAGAAACAGGATCACTAACAAGTTCAAAGTGTTCTTTCAAAACACTAAATCTCATACGCCTCTAAATTAGCAAACAGTTTTATTCAAGCCCTTTGTTCACAGTTTCAGCAAACCTAAAAGGGAGTCAACATACAAGTAATTCAGCGGTCAGGAGAACACGGAGGACAAGGACTCTCTGAAAGTAAATATTTAGAGTAACGTGCTATCTACACAGGAGTACAGAATAGTTGAGGCTGGCAGGGACCTCTGGAGATCATCCCGTCCAACTCCCCTGCTCAAAGCAGGGTCAGCTAAAGCAGGTTGGGTCTAGTTGTTTTGAGTATCTCCAACGATGGAGACTCCACACCGCTCTAGGCAACCTGTTCCAGTCTTCGACCATCCTCACAGTGAGGAGTTTCTTTAGCTCACAGGGGGCTTTCCTTTGTGTCCACTGATTCACTGCTACTGACTCAGTTCTATTTGATGCCTGCTGTCACCAAGGGATATGACATCACTCACGTCAGCAATGACATACAAGGCTACTGACCCATCTACAAGAATGGATGAATGGAGCACAGCTACATGATCAAAGGAAGTCACTGTTCAATGGAACAGGAAAGCTGCATTAGGTGTCTAATTACAGGCCTGGCAGGATCAACCTGATCAATGTTTACCACTCCGCACAGTGCGCTCACTGCATATAATTGTGTGAAATTGCATTACTCAGCCTACAGCCTCCCTTAGGAGGAGGAAGGAAGGAAAACGGGCCCAAGGCAAGAGATTTATATCAGCCAAAGTCTATGTATTGATACACGGGAGTGAGAGTGGATCGCTATCAGTGGTTTCTGACCAAGCAATTTTTCTTTAAAAGCATGACAAATAACAACAAAATAAGATCTCTGCTCATTAGTCCCACCTACAACATCAGATGAATCCCCTGAATACGTTGTGAGAGAAATATGTGTTTCCCAAATCATCTTCACTGCTGGCCACCGCATCTTGCCACGCACACTGCTCCTTACTGATCCAGAACCTGGATTCCCTGTTTGCAGTTTGGTTCCTCAAGTCTCTTCAGCAGGCAAATGCCTGGGTACACTAACTGTGAATGCAAGTGTTACCAGCTGTTTTTCATGCCTATCAAAGAGAGGTAAAAAAAATCTGCAGTCATCCCCCCCACCGGTGTCTGAAGCAGACTCACAGCTTCTGTTCATGGGAGGACACCAGCAAAAAGCTCTCTAGCTACCTCAGTAGCTAGCAGAGCGGGCATTTCAGCAGTAGCTTCTAGGAGCTCCCTTTCATGACAATTCATCTTTACTACTTTTTGTTGTTGAGATTCTGAATCCATGCAAATTACTCTGTAGTTTAGTACGACCTGACAGATTGGGCAAAATAAGCTGTCTCAGCAACAAAAGATACCCTTTCCAGTGTTTAATATCCCTTTAAAAAAATTCCCCGGAGACAGAGAAGCCAAACTGTCTTTAATTTTAGACCAGGGGTACGCAAGGACATCAAAAAGAAGTGTTACTTACTAATAGCCCCTGTGTAGGTTGGCTGTGTAAGGTCTTTTGGCACCTTCCTGTAGATGTCAAACCTGAAAGAGGAAAAGCAACAGCCATAAAACAGGTGGAACATTTCAATACATTTCAAGTCCCCCCAGGGATGAATGATGCTGAAGTTTTTCCATCCAGCTTTCCAACAACTTTTTTTCAGTTCGCAGAAGGAAATGAGAAGGAAAAACAAAACAGAACAAAAAATCCTTCTTCTTTTGTACAATTATGTAACTGCGCTCCTTCTTGGCTCCAATTTCCAAAGCACTTCTCTCCACCTCCCTCGCCTTGCTGTCATGGATCTGTGCAATCTGAACTGTTAGAAGTGCCAGGGAAGAAGTCACGCTGGACAAGTTTACAGACCACCGTAAAAGGAAAAGGATACTCTACAGACTCCTGAATAAAGAGGCCTGGCAAAAAACCACAGCAAGACACAACCTGTATTGCCCCTTGTAGTTTGTATCCTGCAATAGCCAGAAATTGACAATACCAAAGTCAGAAATCAAGGTGTTGGGACAAGAAACCTACCCTTGGACACTGGATACACAAGAGAAATTAACCCCACAAGAAGTTTGCTACTCCCCCAGCAAAATCTAGATTAATATTAGACCGTTGTTTTGATTCAGTCATATCTTTTAATATCCATATGGCTCAGCTTTGCTATTTTAAACTGTTCATGGTTAAACTTTCACTGCCCTTATGATGTTAGCTGTATTATTTCCTACAACCTTGTGTTCCTGCACATCCAGCCGCAATGCAGCTCTGACATCAGTTTTTCCACCACTCAATAAAAATTAATTAATGCATTAAAAACACACACACCCCCTAAAGAAGGAAGTGACTGGTTCTCCCCCAAAACAGACTTTTTTTGGATATACCACAAGTGGGTGAGATTGATGCTTTTTCCAGCTCTGGAGAGGCATGAGAGACACCGGCTTCCAAATTCTTATTCTACACTGCACCAAGATGAAACACCCCCATGTTTATTCAGCAGTTCCTAACACACCAAGTATTATACTGAGAATTTAAAAACTAGATCATCTTTCTTTACTTCACTCTTCATCTGTTGAGATCACTTACAACTTGAAGGCACTCTGGGTGAACAAAACAGCATTTGTCCTGCATGAGATTAGGATGACATTGTTGCTGTGTTCCACTCAGGAGTTGAAGCTGGAGGAAGGAAGGGTAAGAGAGGGAAGGAGAGAGTGTATAAAGACAGTTCACCTACACAGCTCAAGTCCTGAACATGCTATGTAATCACTTAACCGTTCCAACAACCCACTGTGATACACTTGACAGAGCATGCTGCGCAGGATATGCGTTGCAGCTATATGTTTTTATGACTCCATTCACCACCACCTCCTAAATAGATTAGCAATATTCCTGAAGCAAACAGTCCATTTATGGCTCTCCAGCTGCCCTGAGAACATCTGGAAAGTGCTGTTTACATTCTTTCCGCATACACCAAAGCAACAGCAGCAGCGGATGGTAAAGCAACCCAGAGTAGCTGATGACATCATGGTCTCACAGGCAGAGGAAGTAGCTGATCGTTCCTGCTCACAGCCCATTAAACGCTGAAACCTGGCGTCGTCTCGCCAAGTCACAATAATAGATCAGCAAGGCTAAAAAAGCTGAGAGAGAAAGAGAGAGCGAGAGCGCGCACATGAACATGCAAGAACTGCTGAGTGTGAGTGAACAATTAGAAATAGGAAATATCTCTATGCTGGATTCAGTAAAAACAGCAGCATGTGGATACTATAAAAGGAAATTTGTTCTCACAGTGAGAAATATTTACTAGTATTAAAATGATGACCCATCACAGGATTTAAAAAAAAAAAAAAAAAATCTAGCTTTTAAAATAACTCAGTGGAAAGTTGATGTCATGGCAGGGTTCTCTCCTCTCAGACTGCCATTTTAATCACGTAAGTAACACCCAAACCCCACAAATTAAGTTTTACATGGCATAAGTAAGCTAGGATTAGGCAAAGACACTACAGAAAGCGATCAATGGCTCCCAGCCACATTTATCGCCTGGCTTTTAAGTGCTTAACAGACAGTCCACCCCCTCTGTGCTATTCTGCTTCCATCTCTTCTACCACAACATTACATTCCCTCCCTCTTCTCCTACCATGACACACATCTAAAAAGGGCTTTAAGCAAGTCTCTAGATCTGATTTGCCTGGAGTTTTGAGAACTCTTGGGTCTATATTTACAGGCCGAAGCCTCCCTGCAAGGACAGTACAGCACATTCACAACAGTTGTCACATGAGGCCCTTAATGCACTTTAAGGATCACTTAATGTATGAGCACAGTGAGCGTACACAGCTTGCTAGGCAAAGAACACCAGGCAAACAGCATCCCAGCCCTGAACTTACATTCTAGAGGCACATAGAAGAGAAGTGCAGAACAACCCAGGAGAATCGCATAAAGCTTTAACGACTTTGTTTTGTAGAATTAACACATTTTTAGATAAGGACAGACACTGAGGAATAACACAGAATCAAGAGTGGACAACATATGCAAAAGAAGCAACGAGAGCAGGCTGGATGGTAGGGAGGAAGAAGGAAAGTTGAGCTGAGATCTTGTGGATGAACACAGAAGCTTGAAGGATGACATCCAGAACCTGACTCAAGCAGCAGAAGGGAAGGCAAGCAGGGGAGGTGTATTTAAGCTTGCAGGAGGATGCTGAAATGATCAAAACAATTAACATTAACAGCAAGGGAATGGAAAGAGACAGGTTTGGAATAAGAGACAAACACTGTTGGCTAGCTTTTTCTCACTGACACATGATACCAGTAAGTCCAAGAGACTACCAAACCAAAAGAAAAAGGACTGGGTACATGTGTGTATCATCTGCTTGGAAAATAGATGCTCTGGATTAGGAGGGTTTATACTTCGGTAAAGGAAAAATACTCTTCAGGGTACCAGGCATCTTCCCATAAAGCATCTCATACTGGCCACAGCTTGAGAAAGTACAATTTACTTAGTCTGATCCAGGATGGTGAAAACAGTAGTTGGGTTTACGCATTCAGAGAAGGGCAAGTTGGAAGCCCAAGGGATAGCAAAACATCAAACTTTGAAGAGAATGATGGGAGATGCTGGCATGGCCAGGGAGCAGAGCTATCTTGTAAACTCTGATTTAAACTCTGAGTCAAAAGAAGATAAAAATTGCAGAGGATTCAATGAAATGTATGTTTGTGAGACACAAGAGAGATGAGATCCCAGCAGTAAGTAGAGGATGGAACCCCAAAGAAGGCCTCATTAATTACATGTAATTCTAATAAATAAGTAAATCAAGTAAACTTCTCAAAAAAATCCATGAAGTTGACAAGAGTTATTGTAACAGGATACCCTAAGGCCCAAGAAATCAGAGAATTGTGAAAGCCATAACTCCTATCAGACCTAAGGGTTAAAAATCTGATTAACTTCTAGACTCCACTAGACAAACCCCTCTCCTTTTGCCACTGGCTTCTTGCCTATGTCACAGAGCTCAAAGCAATTTCAGGGGATCACTTACACTGTCCTGGGAAGAGAAAAGAATGAGGATTAGACACCACAGATGATTTGTAATGTATGAGGGAGGAGGCCATGGAGTTGTATGCGTGGTAAAGGGGAACAGGTTTTACTTGCCCTCAGGTCAGATGTTCCTGCAAGCACCTGCAGTAAAAATTCCAATAAGCCTCCAGGTTCCTGACGCATTGGTCACTTGGAAGAGTATTTGTACCCTAGGAACAGAGAGGAACCTCGTGCTCTATAAATTGCAAAAGCTGCCTTACAAACTTCTGATACTGGCACATTCACAGCAGTGGAAGACATTACGAATGCTGGAGGAAGACTGGATGTTCAGAAAGGTTACGCCAGCCAGCTCATAACACAGCGAGACGCACTGTACTACACTGTGAATATCCATTTTGATAGTCTTGTAGTCATAGCCAAAACGACCACGAGAAACCAGGGTGTAGATTTACAGCATGTTCACTGCTTCGCAGTAACTGCTAAGTGAGCTCTCTGCAGTACTGGGCAGCAGTTTACCCCGCTTTCATGCAGGGATACATTACTTTACGCTTACAAAGCATGCAGATGTACAGTTTCCACAGGACGACCAGCACGTTATTTATATCTAGCTTCTGGCAACTTTCTTCCTTCGCTCAGAAAGGCAAGACTTGTAAAAGGCGAAATAATATCTTTGAGTCAATCAACTGAAATAGCTGCAGAGTGGAAACAACAAGCTTTTTGCTGGGAAAGCTCTTCCTCCAGGTCATATGTATCCTCATAAAGGGAGGGCTGGACCTTGCAATACCAGAATACAAGGCTAAAGATAGAACTAGGCTGTCATCAGTGTAACAAAGGAATTTCCTGACACATCTAGTATATCTATTGTCTTTTCTTTCAATGGAGAACATGGTTGCAAACAAAGAAATAAAAAAAGGCTGTTTGGCAATGTCAGAGTTTTGCAGGAACCAACATTCATAACTAACATCAGTACTTTTTTCTCAATCCAATGCTGAAGGGACATAACCAAAAACTTTCTCACCTCCCTGACAGGAATGTCAACAAACTGGTCAAACAGCATTATAAAGAAGAGCAGCACAAGGATCATTCTTAAATAGGTTCAAGCAGAGAATTCACAAACCTTAGCATGATTAAGTGAGGTCTGAGGCAGAACCCCAGCTGTCTGATGGACAGGTGTGCAACAGTCCTCTCAGAAACATAGAAATTACACGTTTGGTCTCATCTTATTGCAGTTGCACAAGTGGACAGCGAGGTAAAACTGCAGATGGGGACACCTCAATGGAGCCGAACAAAAGGATGGCAGATTTCAAGTGCCAATAAGTATCAGATGGACTTCAAAAGCTATACCTAGACTAATATGGACTGTTGCTATTCAAACATTTCTTTTCTTCAGATAGAAGTATATGCTCTTTGCGTTCATTTTTCAGGATCTCCTAGAGCCACAGAAAGCATCACAGTATTTAACAAGCCAGAGGCAGATGCAGTAGTGCTTATCTGAGCCACAATCAATCATGTCCAAGGCTGGCTACGCAGAGGCAATGGTAGGTCAAACCCAACAGAACGAGGCAAGTTGACATCATCAGCCCTGGGGTGATTCCTGACTTTCCTTTCAAATCTATCTGATTGATAGTGCAATATGGGTGACAGGGAGGGCAGAAGATGTCTACCCAAACACTGCATTTTTTTCTGGAGTAGATATTTCAAATGCCTGCCCTGAGACCGGGGATGAGCTCACTCCCTCAGCAGGAGCTGCTACGGGCAGGGCTTTCTGCCAGGGCGTGCTTTATATACACCTGAACAGTTTCAAGTCTGGATCTGAAATTTTTCAGGAAATGAAGCAATAAATACATTATTTCACTGAAGATTACCACCTCTCCAAACAGAAAAATCCTCTCTGACACCTTTGGAGTCTGAAAAGAGCTTCAGGAAAATACTACAGTAACAACTCTGTAAGATACCGTTAACTTTTTCATGAACAAAAAGCAAAGAACTTGAGGCAATACAAAAAAATAATACTTGTAAGTATAACTAACTAGACGGTGGTTAAATTTGAATGTCTTGTAGCAAAGGGAAACTCTGATACCTAAAGGAGTTCACACCAGAGAAGGAAGAACACTAATTCCTCCTTCAGTTTACAGCATTTGTTGTAACCCTCAAGCGTGCCCACCCGTCCCTGGCACAAACAGAGGAGCAATGCACTGGCCATGTCACCTAGGGCAGACATTCAGAGCACAGCTTATAAATCTCCCTACACTACTGACTCACTGTGTGGATCACTGCAGAGAGACAGCAGATGCTTTAGCTCTGTCTGTGGAGCGCTGAAACACAACTCTGGAGCGAGCAGCAGTGGGATGTCTCCATATACCCTTCTGCAAGTTCTGTTTTTACTGATTTAACTAAGGGGCAAGGGAAAGATTTTTTTGCAGCTCTTGGACTGTATCTTGGATTCCAGTTAATCAAGCAGCCAAGCAAAAGTGCAACACATTCACATGTGGCACTTGGTCACAGAACAGAATTCAGGCACCGTAAGTCATCAGCAAACAGATTAATTTTCATCCCTTTCCACTCCTCAGATGATTCTGGCTTCAATGCTCACAGGAAAAATGTTTTTGTTCTTCAGGCAGATTATGTTTTTCCCCAGAAGAACTGAATATTTAAGCATTGGACTTCTTTTTGAAGCATACTGGCTCTATCGTAGGTACTTCCGCAGCACATACTGAAAGGGGATGGTGTTTAGAGGACATGATCATTCATTACAGCAAATTACATTTCTGATGTCAAAGATGATTAAAAAAAAAATTTAAAAAATGAGTATCATGGCTGACATTCCACCTTTAGCAGGTCAATGGTGGCGTAAATACATCATGTCATCTTGTCTTAGCAGCAAGGGTCCATGGCTGTGATTCACACAGAAGAATGTGGGTGTTGAAACAATGCTTGATTCTCCACCTCCCATATTAACCAGCTTTTAGAAGTGACATCTATTTTTCAGCAAATACCACATTTGAAGTTAAGGTCACTAATTCCTGGTGACATTACTCACTATCAATAATGAGTCCAGTGCACAGTGAACAGCTATCTTAATTTTATCACATAACAGTAGCTTTCTCTCTGAAAAAAAGAGACAACCTGGTGCTGAACCAATTTGCTTCATTAACAAATAACTCTACTTGAAGTGACTTGCAAGTACTACACATTTAACAGCAGAAATGTAACCTCACTATTAAGTTAACCAAATAACTGAAAATTTTACAGCAGATTTGACTAAACTAGGCAAAGGGGAATTATCAAGTACAGATACAAAAAGTTAACTTTGAAAATACTACAAAGATTACGTTGCTACTGCAATAAGAAATTTGAAGAACTGTGGAACATGTATTCCCACATGCTGCATGCTGGAGACCCAGTGCTGGACAAGTGCTCATTCATTGCGAAAAGGGAGCAACATCTCCATCATAATCTATCAGATACCATAATGTCTCTCAAAGAGAAGAAAAAGGGTGTGGGGGAGATGTCCCTAGGGTTTCCAATATACAGGAGAAAACCCAGATAAGAAAAAGCCAACTGGTGAAGCCTTGCATCCCGAACTGTCCCAAAGGGCTTTTACGGTCAGCAAAATCTCCATTCCTGATTACTTCCTTCTTGGCAAGAAACATGTCTCCTCTGAGAAACAGAGGGGCTGCTGATTGAAAAAGAGAAAGGTAAGGCACCTATGACACATACACAGAGGGACAGGTTGCTTGTCTGAAGAAATGAAGAATAATACACCTTCCCAAGCTGAGATGGCTTCCTGGATAAACAAAAGCCCTTGGTCAAACATCAACTCAAGTTTAAATCACAGCACAAAGGAGCAAAGAAATAACAAACCCCTGTGGCAGTCAGCACTTCGGTAGGAGGCTGTGGGGCATGGATCACTCAGATTTCTGTTGAGATTCCCTCTTCTCACACATTTAAATATCTGCAGTACAGGTTAATTCACTCCCAAGATAGCAGTTTAAGTCAGAAAGCAGGAATAAGTCTGTCTTTTCAGAACCTTTTCAAAAGCAAGACTGTGTCACACTAAAACCACTGAGCCTTTCGTATACCAAGAAAGCAAGCTCTAAAACCTAGCACGCCAGCTAAAATGAATTTGTAGGCTAAGCTCTCTGCTCTACAAAAAGAAACAACATGAGGCTGGCTTTTTAAGAATCATTTCATGCAAGAAATGTTTCCTTGCCACTGCACAGGGGAATACAAGCCGGTTAAAGCAGTTTTCAAAACTTTTTTCCCCGTGCGCTTCTACCTGTGTGCTGGTAATGCCCTTACCCAGTTTAACAGCAAGTAGCACAGCTCCTGCAAACTGGAGAGTTATTCAAGTGCAATATTGCTGCTGGTTTTTTCCATTTGTCAAGTTCTTCTTGCAAACCAAAGAGAAGTGAATCAGAATATGGCTGCAGGCCTCAAATATCAAGAATCCAAGATGGCTTGATGTCAGTATTTCTCCACACACACGCCAATTCCTGACTGATGTAACAAAGAGTTTGCCTGTTCCTTAAAAAGTCCATTCATTACGTACTCACCAGTAAATGGAGTTACAACGTGGAAAAAAGAATTTCTACCATTACACGCTGTATTTGCCATGTTCAAGAAACATAACGCAGAGGTATCCCGCACAGAGTAGACACATTAAGTTTTAAGAAACTCATTCTTAAAAAAAAAAAAAAAAAAAAAAAGGTGCTTTTTGTCAAAAGAAGATGAAGCACTCTATTTATTAATTATACTGGGTTTCTTTTTCAGGTGAATAGAAAAACTGCTGCACGGTGCATTTCTAGGAACATATATTCATTCAAAACAACAACCCCAGACTGCTTTTGATGAAAACTACATGCACTGTGGAAGGTACACAAAGAGCAAGGCAGCTGCCAAACACAACTTTGGACACTCAAGCTAGTGCCAGCATCCATTTAATCTTCTTTAAGAGTCATCTTGAGGCAGCTCTGTCTGATAACAGGCTAGAAAACATCTAGTGTCTTCTCTTCTTTGAGAGCATCTACCATTTAGACATTATAAATAAACTCATTTTTAGGCCACATCCTTCTGAATTACACCACTCTTTAATTACTTCATGTAGACATCAGTGAATCCAGTCAACTAACAATTTCTATTCAGCTGCCATTGAAGAGACGAATCATCCTTAACTTTTAGAAGGATTAATTTTCCCTGGAGACATGGACATAACCTTGGGATTTGTCACACTCTACACACTTTTATTCTTCCTCTTACTGCTTCCTATCTGCCTCCTCAGGCATTTCTCTTATATTGCTGTATTACAGACATATGATTCAGAGAGCAGAAATGGTTGGTTCAGTCACCTTTATTTGGTTCCCCACAGGAGTTATAGATCTGATGTAGAGACAGACAAGCAGCTCTTCCCACAAGATTTGTATAGCTGTATCTATTTTTAAGTTTGTCATTTCACGACAGTTCAGGAAACCAAGGTGGGTGTGAAGTGGGGAGAGGAGAATGAGCAACCTCAACCCCACTTCAGGAAACATGTTTAAGTGCACATGAAATGAGCTGGAACGATGGCTCTGAAGAGTTTTCAACCAGTCCGCAGTATGGGCTACTGCACAACTTACTTTCCTCGTACTACCGCTACTACCACCTTTGGAAGAAGCATCCCTAGAGACAACAGAAGAGTTTACGGATTATTCATTCGGTACCTGCCACTATTAAGGCTCTTAGCAGAGATACCACTTACAGTTGAGAATCCAGCAATTCACTTTGCATAAAACGCTTTATCATTTATAAGGAGGACATGGGAAGCAGGAAGAAACTCAGTCATGATAAATATAAGTTGGATTAAGTCCATCTGAAATTCAAAGACCGCTGTGCACCAATAAACTCCATTTTCTCTCTCCAGGAAAACTAGCAGAGATTGGTGTTACAAAGGAGAGGTCAGAATTTAGTCACCACGTTTGTCTCAGGAGTTTCCTTTTGCCCCCCAAAATCAGTGTAGCTTGGAGGCAGAAGGGAAAAAAAAGAGACCATATTGAATACCTTCTATGTGAATTAATGGAATCAAAAAGAAGCTATGGAGAGACTGTTGTCAGAGCAAGATTATTCAGGCTGGAGACTAACGGCAGAAGGGAAACACCCTTCCAGCAGTACCCCCTGGTATTTCTACAGAAACCTTCCCACCAAAGGCATGCTGTTTTGTGTCAAGGAGCGTTTGTATCTTTGCAATCTGCTGACTGCTCAGGCAAAGAGATGTCCATCATCTAACCAAAGCTTAAGAATCAGAAGTACAAAGTGCATAAGAGAAAACCTGCCTCTCCAACAGTTCCAGGTACCGTGGGGTCTCTGTTCACCAACATGTTCTAGAGGTTTCAATGAAGCAATTCAGCAAAAGAGGTGGCTTACAGAGAGCACTGAAACACCCAGTAACTGGCACTCCCCATCCGCCTCCCCATACTCCACAACACGAATATGAAGTAAAACAGATTCTCAGGCTGTAGCTGCTCGACTAAGATGGGAAGAAATTGAGGCCCCAGGACTTTATCTCTCGGTGCTTCTTCAATTGAGACAGACATTTAAAAAAAAAAAAAAAAAAGATTACAAGGTGCTAGAAAAACTAAGAGAAACTAGGAAAGCATATAGAATACTCCAATGTTACTAGAAGAACAAAAGATTCTAAACCAAAAAATCAAGTTACTTAGCTAAAAGCTTAAAAAAAAAGTTGTTTAACAGGCAGCAACTGTTCCTCTGTTTCCTTGGGTCACTGCTCTCAAATAATGACTTTGGAACAATTCATCCCCGCTTTGTCAACAAAGCTGCCTTAACAGCCCTTGAACACTGGGCAGCAGGAGCAGGCCAACCACACCAACTGAACGGCAAAAGCCATCAGGCACTCAGCTGTAGGTAGTCACTGCAGTAGCTTTTAACCTCTTCAGAGGCCATTTAGCTCTAAATAAAAACAAGCAGGCTTATGTATAAGCCCTCACTCCACCAAACGCAGACACTGAGTGTTAACACCTTTCTGGCTTTGCTCCTTCCTATGAAGCATATCAGACACTCACAGTGAGATCTTTAAAAGCAAAGCTGTTACGTTCGTATAATGGATAAATCTAAAACCCACCAATTTCATTTTCAATGTGACTGTTCAAGCCGAGGGAAATGTAAAGGTAGAACAAACAGCACAGCTGAGTCAGGTTTGCACACATAGTGCTCTCTGGATTAACAAAAGACCATCTACTTAAAAAATAAAAATAAAACCCCAAGCACCTGTTTGAAGTTGTTGGGGGGACTTTTATTGTTCACAGTTGTTAAAACCAGACCTAGAACTACTGTGACCAGGACCAGAGAGAAAAAGATTAGCCTCTTTATTTGTTAAATTGATTTCATTCAACAGTGGAACAGCAGGCTGACTCCTAGGGTATGCAGAGATGGCCTGAAAGACCAGTTACCCCATTCCATGTGCCTACGACAGAATATTTGAAATAATCAAAACAGTAAAGAGATGGCCCTGGAGAACAGCTAGTATCTGGGACAATGATGATAAAGGAACAAGTGGGGCAAGACTCCCCTCTGCCTAGTGACCCAGAGAGGGGCTGGACATCACCAGACTCCCCTGGGAGAGAGGAGAGGAATGAGCAGATGGCTGGACAGGTGACACAAGAGACTACTCAGCAATTTTGTGGACTGGATTATGTACTCCAGATGCTTGAAAGCTACTACAAAAAAAAGTCAGACCTGGTCTGACTAGCAGTTTGGAGCAAGTCCCTAAACTAGGAAAGCATGGCACGAGAGAAGATGCACTCCCTGAGTAAGAGGTCTGGAGACCTCTAAACGACAGAAAGAGGGAAACTACCTGAAGTGCCGTGTTCCCTCCAAAGTAATGTCAGAACGCAAGCGGGTCTCCGTCTCTCAGGGACACTGGAAATAGCATTAAAATCAAACAACAAGATTTAGAGAGTAGAAGCTCTTGGGTTATTTTGTTTTGGTTTTAGTTGGGGAAACATCAAGAACAGCATGTCTTTTTAAGTAAAACCTCTCTTACTTTACCCTAAAAAAGCAGCGACTTCCAACTCCCTATGCATTTTCAACTTCTTATGGTCCTTGCTGTACCTGTTCTGGACAAAACCACAAAATTTTGTTCCATGGATCTATCAGAGAAAGAAGAATTTAGAGTAAATTCACTCTAAAACAGTCCAAATGAAGTAGAGGTGCCTTATTCTAACGCCTTCCTCTACACATGTATAGGAAGCCCTAAATTTTCTATTTTTATGGAGAAATATTAGTTCAAGATTTCCTTCTGAAATCCTTTCTTTAGATCATGCTGCTTTTCTTCCCATTCAAAGGCAAGCGCGTGCTCTGACAACTCTGCAAGAACACTTAGCTCCTACACAATCCAGCACAGACAAAAAGTAATAACTCTTCTTCCAACAAAGCAGGTGAAATTTATTACCCTGTTTTACAGGGTGGGAAAACAATGGCAAGAAGTCAGCAGCAGGGGAAGAAAATAGGAACTACTGACTCTGAGCACATCATTTTGCAATTGTTAATTCTTTATTTAAATGCAATTTCTATGTTTCCTGTCTGATAGCAGATGAGAACATAATGTGCAGAGTGCAGCTCAGGAGAGCTTCTGGGACAGCCACGCTGCGATCCCACGGATGGGATGCAGCAGTGGGAGCCAACAGACCTGAATTCTGTTCTGCTCCCAGCACTGACTCACTGCGTAATTTCTGTTCCAGTCAATTAAATCTTTCTTCTTCAGCTTTTTCATTTTGTAGAGTGGCACCTGGTGACATTTGCCCACTTTTCATCAAGCACATTGAAATCTACAATTGAAAAACTGAAGAAATATGAAGAATTTCCAATCAAAGTTCCAACTTTTTGAAGGTCTGTACAAGGAAAGCTCCAGGAAGATGTACTTATGAAAACAACTGGATGTGTACTGCAAGAGCTAAGCCTTGGTTCAGTATGAGGGTTGTGCCTAGAGTGCATGTTTACGAACAATCTTGATCAGAAATGGTTTTGTGAATTGGGACACAAACTTCGAAGCATGTGGAAAGTAAAATAAGGTGATTCTGTTAATCTAAGTTTCACACAGAAAGTAAACATTGAATACCCAGCTACCAAAGCTTGGCCCTGAATGTGAGTTCGAGATGCAAATAAAGATTCAAAGCAGGACTAATAAGCCGATACTTGCAAATACCAAGCAGTTATTAACACATTTTATAAGATTAACACCTGCGTAACAGCAGATAGTATACAAACATCATTAAGTAATCAGCTAGTCCTCATTTACACACAATAGGGTATTAACACACATACTGCTGAAGTTGAGCTTTAATGGATAAACTCTCAAGGCTTCAAAATTACATTGGAAACTCTTTAATCCAGAACTACTTCGAGCAAGCTCTGATATGCGAAAAACCAGACAAGGAGATGGAGGGGCTAATGTGGATTTAAACTAGTTTATCTGTACTGCAAGCAGGTGAAGACTGCAATTTTCAAATTCTGTATGACTGACTTGTCACTCACAACATCACACCAGTTTTCGAAGCATGATCCTCCAAATAATATTTTTTTTTGACTTTCTGACTCTCCACACTTTTAAGCCCAGGAGTGAAATGCAGGAATAGGTTTCCTTGCCAGCCAGCTCCTCCCTCTTAATTCTAGTTCCAAGAACATAATGAAACTAACAGAGGAAGTTTCTGAAACAAGGAGGAGTACTGAGAACAAGAAAACAAGGTTAGCCAGGAGGACTGTCATTAATTATATAATCCAGCCTTTGGGTAACTGGACATTTAGGGAAAGGGGCTGAGAGAATGTCGGAGGCATCAGCCTCTGCAGCATTATGTCATCTGGTCTGCTAGTTACTTAACAGGTACAGCATTTCTATAGGGGGAAAAAAAACCCCCACACACATTTATGTCTAGGACAAAAGACTATGAATCCCCACAACACTTGCAGAAAGAGGTCACAAAAAATGAATACATTCTGCCATTTAAATTGATTTCTTTCCAAGGAGCTAGTTCTCCTGTTTTCTCTCTTCTGCCAGCTTCCCCGACTCCATTGTGCTGTCCTGCATAACACCTTTTTGTCAACGGTGTTCTAAATTTTGTGCTTTTATTCTTTCAGCGAGTAAGAAGCTTGTTCTCTATTGCCCAGGAATACACAGCAAGTGCTATTGGTGAAATACACCAAAAGTGAAAACTATTTCAGGTGGCACTGAAGAATGGAAGAGAGGAAGTGGTACATCACATTTTTTTTCAAAATAAAACGATAGGCTCAAACATATTTCAAAGGTAATTAGGAGGAGGAAAGTATTTATAATCTCAAATACTCAATGGTGGAGCCTTGCCAGCAAGCATTTTACTTCCTTTTAGGCAGTGAAGCCGGTGTCAAAATGAAGGATGGAAGAGAAATGTATTTTTAATAAAGTGAGCAAACTATACTGTGCTTCATCAAAATAGGAGAAAAGTGTCATGAAGAAAAAATGTTCAAGTAAGGGGACTGGTATTTAAAGGGATCCAGCCCTTCACTGGACTGTAAACAAGAGCAATTGTATTTCTGAATGGTAGTACCGTATTCTGGAGATCAGAAAGAGAGAATGGAGGCAGAGAGAACAGGGAACAGGATTAAACATATATGGCTGCTCCCCAAACTAAGTAAATTGTTCAGATACTTGAATGTCATAAGTAGACTGTAACTCTTCCTGTCACGGAGCCTTCATCCCCCTTAAGCTCAGAGATTCTTGCTCTCGCAGCTCCCCAGCACATCCCAGTGCCTCCCACCATCGCATCCCCCAGACACTTCCTCCAGCACCGTCCCTCACCCATTCCCTCCTTTGTAAGCCCCCCAGTCCTGAATGTCTCTCCCTTTCCCAATTCGAGACCTGCCAGCTCAGGGTTCCTCTACCTCCTGCCATGTGCCTCCGGCTCCATCTCGCTGCCCACAGCTGCTGGTTCCCAGTATTGCCAGTGCTACTGGCCTCAGTAGCCAACTCCTTACCCCTCTTGACAGACACAAAGTCCTGATCTCCAGCAGACACTTAACAAAATTCAAACTTGGACTGCGATTTCCAAGAAATTACCTACACACAACTCAGAGCAAAACCAGGACACAGCTATGGAAAAAAAGAGTTGTACCAGTCTTTCCCATAGCTTCTAGGAATCACAAAACATTAAGACTGCTGCTGCCTTGTACTGCTGAACACATTGAAACAAGATCTGGTAAGATTAATTTAGCATCAGAACCGTGTAAATTTTATTTGTGGATGCTGCTTTCTGAAAGGTTTAAGTCCCAGCTGCATTACGACAGCAAACAAATCAGAGATTTGTACAAAATAGCATGAACAAATATAACATCTGGAGAAGAAAAAAAAAAAAGGAGGGGGGTGAAGAAAATAGCTCCATCTTTATAAGGCTTCCTCAAAAGCACACAGGCAAATCCATACCCTACTGCATGACAGAGAGATTTCTCTACATCAATAAGGGAAACTCCTGGACTTCTGCTAGGCTCACCATCTCATGCTGGACCAGGCCAAGAAAATCACTCCAAGGAAAAACTGTTCAGCCACTGCTCTGCAAAGTGAGCGAACAAAGTAAGGTCCCCTCAAAACAAATCAGTAACTGAGGCTCAGAAAGGGATTGCTATTTGCCTGAGGCTGAAAAGAGTTAAGAATAGCACAACCCTGACTTGAGGGAGTAGACAATGGCCTTCACTGCTGTATACAAGCACAACACAAAGTCTTCCTTCTCCTCCAAAGCAATTTCTATAGGACAAAAGCCATTCTTAATACACAAGATATAGGGGCAAAAACCATACCCTTACCCAGAGCATCCAGCAGGGATTAAAATATATTGTACTTTTTCACTATCTAACCTAACAATATCAATAAACATGCAGTGACCAGCTCAGGTTCTCCTATTTATATTCCAATCTAAGGAGACGAGAATTTCTGTACGTGCTTTTATAACTCAATCCTATTTTTTAGTTGCATATAACTGTATTACCTAGAAGCAAGTACAAATCAAATGTATTATCTAGCTTCCAAGTGAAGTTCCTGGTTTTGACTTGGTTTCCAAGAAACATCCGTAACATGCTACCCCACTACAAAAACGTGGCTGATACAGACCCAAGATAGAGGTGGAGCTTGTAGTTGGGGACGACGTTTACCAGCGTTTGTTAGTCCAGATATCACTTGTTATAATGCAGCAGCCAGATTCAGATTTTGTTCAGTAGGGTCACACTTGATTTAGAGTGACGTGGAATCCGAGTGACGCTCTGAGACTTCACCTTTATCAGAAAACACACAGTCATATTTACATTACCGGCTGTACTGGTGTTTTAGCAGGCTCTCCAACCTTGTTTTATTCACAGCACACAGTGGTCTACAGAAATGGACAGCAATTAGGGAGGCAAGTGATCTGCCTTAGGATATGACTGTTAAATACTAAGCAGCCATTACTGCCTGAAATCCAGTTAGTAGTAATACATGCCTTGTCTATATTAACATAGCATTTTGAAGGCTCTTCTATTAAATGCCAATCTTTCTGGCTTCTCTGGATTAAGCTAGACACATCTCATTTGGAAACATCCTTAAAAACCAACCAAACAAAAAAAGCAAACATCCAAACACACGCAATTCAAACGCAGCCAATCACACTGTCCATCTATCTAATTGCTTGTCCCTACTTGTACGTACTCCACATTTCAGTATAAGGAAGATTTTGTAGACTATGGCAAAACTGTGGTTAATAAATTTTTGGCAGAACAAGTTTTCCATTTTGGGGGCAGCTGTATCAGTACAGGAATACCTAGACAACACTTCAGGGCTTGTGCTTGGATAGAAGGCAAAAACCCCAGATGATTCTACTATTTCTTCTTTCATTGCAAGACTATTTTTTTCTCACCACCTCCACCATTTGAATTACATGCCTAAAAAATACACATGCACACTTCAAAATACAAGCTCAACAACTTCCACAGCTTCTCACTCCACGCTGGTGGTATTGCTTCAACTCTGTTTACAGTGTGATTCAGTCATTTTCACAGCAATGAACTATGATGGCATGAAGAAAGCATCTGTGTCATCAACGGGGGAACAAAGGAGGACAGTTAAAGTTCAGAAGGAACAATACAAAACTTTCCTATAAAGCCAGATCTTAATACTTCTGTACTTACTCAGGAAAAGTTTTCTACTCCAACTATATTTCAAGAAAAATAATGCATTAGGGAGACTTAGGAAGAAATATTTACACATGTGCCCTCCATGCATAATCAGTTATTTGTGGCATAAACATCAATAGACTTTGTCTGTACAACTCTACTTGCCCATCTGACTGCTGTGACTGCAGAATAATTTCTCAGGTGCCCTCAAAGGGCTATTGTTGAAACAAAGTTAGTCATGGTACTGCCTGGCACCAAAATCAACTTTGGTAATTACGTAAGGTGGCAGCAATACCACTCGGAAGGCTTGTTTACCAGCGACATTGCACAATGTGAAGTGGAACATGCTTGCCAGATGTGGCTGCAGTTCAAGATGAAAATCCGCCTGCAGAGTTACCAGGCGCTCTGAAGCGGTAAGCTATCGCTTCAGTAGCTAGAGAGAAAAAGTGCAGGTCCCTTCAAAGTGTAGAGAGGCAACTATCTAACCAACACAGAACAACGTTACAGCCACTAGTTATAAATGTAGACAATTTAGGAAGCGACGGGTACCAGCTCAATCACATACAGGATTTAAGATTTTGAACGAAATCATTGTACAAGTGGCAATGCCTATGGCTGTGGAAGTGAGCGTGACCATGCAGAGCTTCGTACACGACACATGCAAACCTTTCTGATATGCCATTGCTACACACAAACCAGCAGGCACAACTCATTCAATCAGGAGAAGCAGTACCAGCCGGCCTTAGCTGTTTATCCTTCTCTCGTGTTCTCCCCACACTGTTTCAGCCAAGAACGCACCTACCTGCTATCACCGCCATGTACCGTCTACAGGAGAGGCATCGTGAGCTCATTTGTAAAGTAAGTTCAGCGACTAATTTTGCCAATGAACTAGTGTGTGTTAATGCAGCTAGTTAGACAACGTGCTGGGAAAGAGCAAGGAGGTGGATGGAGTACAGAGCACCACGATCCGATGAGAAATGCGGAGCTGGTTGAGATTTCACAAAGAGATTCCAAACTAAAACTCCTGAGCAAATATGTACATTTCCACTAACATTTGATATTTATTAGGCAGTACCAAAACACCGCGTAGTCACCATTTCTGCTTAACAATTGGCAAACGTTCAAGTACAGGCCGAACAAATCCAATACAAGTTTAAGTGCGATTTGAGGGGTTGCAGAAAGATTTTAAGTTGTGACCTTCACAAACCTGTTGAAAGAAAAATGGTAGGATTACCAAAGGCAGCTTTGTTCCTTCTTTTCTTAAGCACGAAGACTAAAATAAAGCTTAGGCTCACAAGTGAATGAGAAATTGTTGTCCAAGGGGTTGGTTAGTCTGGAAGAGATTTTTCTCCTAAGACTCCAAATCGCCTACAATCTACTGGTTTGCCCTCACTAATCTGGTCGGGAATCGAAGGCAGACAAACAGACCTCCCTGATGTTGCTGAAGCAGTCTGTATCACTCGTTTCGCAGCTGTGCCAGGTCAGGTGTCTTGAGCATCAGTTTGCCTATTAGCCATCACAACTCTTAGGTCTAAATTAAAACCAAACATACTGCCTCTCCTAAAAGCAACAAGGTTGGAAGTGCGTCAGCTTTGGTTAAGCCTGGACAATTTGATTTAAAAAAGACCCGTCTGTGTCCCAACGCAACAAAAATGTTGTTTATATCTGAATGAGAATACCCACACAAAAAGTATCATTTATCACAGATGTGCTAAAGAACAGCTGACTATGGGGGCCCATTGTACTGTGCAGATGGAATAAGAGTCTTTGCTGCAAAGAACTTCCACTCTAAATCAGCATTTAAATTTAAATCCCTTCTAAGTCTGGCTACTTTCCCATGACCTCCAAAATCCAGGCATAACATACTGTTACTTCATTCAGGTTATCAAGCCATAAAAAACAACAACAAAAAAACAACCAAACAAAAAAACCACCCTAATGAAAACATCACAATGATTAATCGTGGGAAATAAATTCTGAATTTCTCAGTTAAATATAAAAATAAGGATTCACGGATATTTGCCACTCTATGCCAAAAAAGTGGCCAGTGCACAACTGAGAATTGCCCACAATTAGAACAAAAACTTGATTTCAGAGCAGTCTATTTTAGTTTTTCTCAGTCTAATCAGTTAAAGCTACCAAAATAGTTCCGAAGTTTCAGTATCTGCTACAAAGCCATCAGTAACTCTTTCATGCAAATAGGCAGATGCCAAGAAAAGCCAACAAATTCAAGAGAACTTGCAGCAACATTTCTCTCTACCATATCCATGTCCAGTGCACAGGAGTCACTTCATTTTTACTTCTGTAATTCTCAACACCAGAGCAGTATAAAGTCCAGCACTGACATTCGCTGCTGAAGCTAAGCCTCTCTGCTAACTGGATCACATGTGCAAGAAATCTTCTGGCCCACAATCACCATTCAAGATGACCCAGGCTTACAGTTTAATCTAATTATGATTTTAACCATCCACAGATGCTGCAAGTATGCAGGTGACACTGGATCTTAAAGGCTCAAGGGGGAAATACCCTTTCAGCTCCAGTGATATAACTCAAAATCCCCAATCAAATACGTATGAAGCTGCTTTGCTGACACAAGTTCTAACATACCAGGTGGAGAGGCAACAAGGAAAAATCTGTCTCTCTCTTGCAGCCAAATAGGTTTTAAAAAATAAGAAAGAACCAGGCCTTCCAGAAAACTGATTTAGTAGTTCTGTAGGAGGGCTGGTGTCTCGTGACATGCACTGAACAGACCTGTACTGAAGGCTCCAATCTGGAAGCTGAAAACTTGGTTCCTTACCAACATCACAGCAGGACTGTAGAGATTAGTGCGAATGAAATGCTTTGAAAAATGAAAAGCATTAGGTAAGTACTAAGTATTATTAAAACCCTAAAGATACTTAGGACAGAATGATTATTATTCACTTGAAATTACTTTACTGTGAAAATATTGTTTTATTTACAAATTGAATGCATTTTATATTAGCAGAGGCAACCATTGATAAGCCAAGAAAACAGAAGTCCTACAGAAAAAAAAAAGTACAGTACAAAAAAGTACAAGTAACAAAACAAGCTACTTCCATATCGCATACCAATACGCCTCAGACTCTAACCCACTGGAGACAACTTCAAGGAACATGTTCAAGCACTTTGGGTTGTTCAGTCTGCCCAAAATATGAACCCATAAGTCTAGGAGATAGGAAAGAGATTTAGTCACCTGGATGGAAATGCTTTCTTTGACTTTTAGTTGGTGAAGAACAGGGACTTTTTGGTCATGGGCTGTTTTCATTACTTGTCATTTGTGTCTCTATTTTCTCCAGATGAGACTGTGGCAACCTATTCCTCTTAGAGCTATTTTGTGTGGAAACAGAGCTCGAGTCCCAAACTTCTAGCTGGTCTACTATGCCCCTCTCTACAACTGATGTTAGCTGTCAATGTCCTGCCACTCTAAAATATCAAAACTAAAAGCTCTAAGTGAAGGGAGGATACAACAAAAAAAGAACTTGCCTTCCCAAATGCCCTAGCAGAGCAGTTAAGGACAGTGATTTGTTCAGACGCATTAGCAACACAGACCTGTGAAATCTGTGGCCTCTAGAAGAACACAATGCCTCTCCACCTGGAACCTCTGAATTTTGGACTCTAGAAGATACATAGGGGCAATTTTAAAAGTTTCATAACAATCCATCCCTCTAATCGTACATAGGCATAACACTCACTTTAAAGAGTGTGCTAAAGACAGGGTGCCAAACTGTACCTGCCAAAGAAAACATCCAGTTGAAATCTCTGAAAAACCTTGCATTTTACATCATGAAAAACATCACCTCTTCATTCAGAAATTTACTACAGGTGGTAACCTTATTTCTCTAAGAGTATTGTATTGTATGTTCTACAGCTGTCAGGAAGTAACTGTACATTTTTTTAATGTATGCATCATATTTTACCTACAACAGTAAAATTTTCCAACCTCAGTAGATTTTGTTCCACTCACTGCACAATGAACAAAAACCACAACAGCTAAAAGATAGTCTCTAACCTTTGCAAAAATTTTGGTCCTGAACTCTGTTCATGCTTCTAAAACAGGAAAGTGGTTTGTTGTGCATGACAATAGTTTCTCTGTACCTTTAAAGTTCTTGTTATCAACCACAGTCTTTTAAAAATTCATCTTTGCAGAAAAGCTGAACTTCAGTAAGCTTACATTATTTGAGAAGGTGCTTTGGAGTATCTATTTCTAACCCTCCAATCTGAATGACAAAGTAGTTATTTGCAGTTGTGAATCTTGAAAATGCAGATCTGAACTGATGCCTCTATGAGTTTTTGTAACTCATTAACACAAACTCTGCAACTCGGCCTTTACTTAATGTCTTTGTTCCATTCCAAAGTGAAGCACTAGTGCTGTCTCTTAAGATGATTACTCTTGGTGAGCCAGTGTTTCCACATGCACATTCTGAGATCCAACAAAAATTACATTTTCGAAGATATCTGAAATAACATTTTCTTTATCTGCTATTACAAAGTGACAGCCACAACCCAGGATTCCTTATTGTTCACGTATTGTACAAGTCTGAAAATAGACGGCAATGGGATTTGCAGCTGGCAGAATGGCTCCAAAGCTGAGAAGATTTTTTCTACCAAATTTTACACAAAACCAGAAACAGGGCTCTGGGCCCCGGATCCCACATGATCCAGCAGATGCTGTTTCCAGCTTCAGCAAGTTTTCATTCAGAAGCAACTGCCTCCATGTTCAATAGTGCCCCATGGATCACATACAAGATCCTGTTAGCCTGTATAAATGAGAGGCCTGATTTAGAATTACAGCAAAAATACAATACACAACTTTTGTTTGGGAGAACTAAAAAACTGCAACATCACCATTTCCTCCCATCATCTCAAAGGGGTGCAGATGTATGGTTCATGATGGTCCTACATGAGAAGCATCAAGCAACAACTCTATCTCTCAATTCCCAAAAATGCCTGTATTTCTTACTGTAATGTTAATGCTCTAGTAAAACCTACATGAGAAAACTCATGTGTGCGTCTTCGCCATGGCATCTATGAATTTGGAAAGTTACAAATCTTTGGTTCAGGAATGGCTCAAAAAGAAAATGAATCCACAGTTACTATTTCAGCTCCATTTGAGTCAAAGGGGTCTTTTTCGCTTCTGCTTTGTATCTGAAACTGACTGCGAGGGCCCATGGGACGCAGGCTCCTGCAGGAAGGCCAAATCCCACAACTCACACCTGCTCAAAATGCCAAAACCAAAGGTGGAGACACCGACGTTGTTTCCTGGCCATCGGAGAACCACGGCGCCCGGCTTTTCTCGCACGTAGCCTCACCCTAACGAGTGACCTCCCAAAGCTGCTGTGGCAGAAGGGGCCCAGCGCCTTCACCCCGACACCCGCTGCGGGGCCCTGTGCTACAGCCGCAGCGCTCACCCCCGGGGCCCCGCTGCTCCACCCCTCCCGCCCGGGGGAGCTCGAAACTCCGCACACCTCCTCCTGGCTTTGCACAACAGCGTTATATAATAACAGCCGCTCGCTGGGCTGA